ATGGCGACCGAGTAGCTGTGTTGGACACTGTAGACGGCAAGAAGAACCAAGCAGTCGAAACTATTTGAAAGACTTAAAAAAGCTAAAGCTAGAAACCAGAAAAGATAATGCTACAGTTAAAGAACATGTTCATGTTAATGTAAAGAAAAGCAGGAAAAATGACAGAAAAATTGAGCTGGGGTGGCTACATTTCAGGGAACTAGACAACTTGTATGTGCATATGCGCACTAAAAAGGGTGGTGGAACACGAAAGGAAAGTGTGCCAAAGAAGAGTACAAAGACAGACCTCATAGAAAGAGCACTGCAACTGTTTTTTTCCTGGGGGGGGAAAATGCAGTAGGCAAACGTACAGATTTTGAAGTGGATTTAACCGACTTTCAGGAAAATCCCTTAGTTGAAGATTTTACTGTTGAGGAACTGTATGAAAGAACCAGGTTGCCAATGCTGCGTTTTTACTTAAAAACCAAGAAGATACAAAAAGACACAGAAGGGAATCTTGAGGGAGGCAGTGTTGAATCTGTACATATATATGATCACTTTGATGTACTACCTTCAGGTTCAGGCTCCAGTTCAACAGTTTTGGAGCTAAACTATTTAGATGTGATTTATATTGGACCTTTTGGAAGCACTGAGTCTTCAGATGGTGATGAAAGTCTTTTTAATAGTTTACCAGAACAAGAAACAACACTTAATAATGTGAACGACTTGGAAGAATAGTGGGACTGTGACTTTGCGCACTGCAGACCTGTTAGAAATGGAATCCTCCAGTCATACTTGATGATACTTTGAAGAGTTGCCTACTTTTCTGAATATGTCTAAAAAAAGAATTGTTGTGGTTCATCGAGGCCAAATCGAGCTTTCTTAATGAGCTTTTCAAGTTTTCTGAAGAAGAGATTGTGAACAAGGATATCCACTTTTCATTTGCCTGATGGGTGTGGTGGAAGTGATTTTGAGTTTTGGAATGACTTTTATGAACAATGTGGGAATGACTTTAAAGTACCATACTTACGACATGACTATGGAAAAGAGGAATGGGAAAGTGTTGGTCCAATCATTGCTTTTGGTTGGAAACGAGCAAAGCATCTTCCAATAAAACTTGCTCCTGTTATTCTTGAGCAAGCTGTTCTTGGTGATGTAGAGACTGATCTGTTGGATAGTTTCCTCAAGTACGTGTCACACTCAGAGCGAGTCATATTTCAGACTTGCTGTTCAGATTTTGAAAGTATTGATAAAGATGAGTTATTAGAAGTTCTTGATTTGCATAACTGCCGCAGACATCCAACACCAAACAACATAAAGCAAATCTTAAGAGAGCTTGCTCACCATAAATTAGTTCAGGAGCCAGCCTTTGTCATTGAGCAGTGGAGTAATATGCTTGTGGGGATGAAGTCAGAGCTGAAGGGGATTGCAACTGCGTATGAGGAACTACAACCAACATCACGCAAGATAATGAAGTCGCTCACTTATCCATGTAATCCAAATGCCAGTGAAAAACAGAGAGTCAAATATGTAACGACATATCTTCAAGAGTCTTTCCAGTTTCCTAAGGTTTTGTACAGGATCAGATGTATTTACAGGAAAAAAACATTGTGGTGTCATTTACAGAGCTTAATGGGTTTCAGAGAAGCCTGTTGCACACACCTGTGGTTGTTACTTAGAACTGCCAGTTACCTATGAAAGTTACCCCGATTTTCGACATGAAATGAACAAAGTGCTGGAGAGTAACATCTGGGTTATGGATATTGTGTGATTTTAGGCCAAATGAAAAAGTGAATTCTGTTAGCATATTGGTATTAATATAGTCTTGTTACTGGTTTCACTTTGATTATTGTTGTTGTTGCTGCTGTTGTTTGCCACATTTTTACACAACATTCATTAACTACCATTTTAGATATAGATTACTCAAAAGATACAATTCACCTGTATCTCTTCATTATGATTTAAGTTTGTTTGGACTTTTGCATTGTTAAAACTGTTATATATCTGGTCTATTCATACTCTTACATTTCCTGTCCGGAGGTGCTATTGCATTATTCATTTCCTGAAGTGAATGTGAAAAAGTTTGATCAAATGAATAAAACTTCTTGTAATTTTGAATCTTCAGTCTGGTTTATTATTCATTTAAATATTCATTTACATTATTATGTTGTTAACTACTTGCACATACTTGCCATAATAGCGTAAATGTTTTGGAAAATATAAAGTAATCCTAATTTTAACAACAAATTAATTTACCACAGAAATAGATATAATCTGTAGTTCTTATTGTGTGATAGTGAACAATTAATTAACAAACTTTGTTCAGTTATTAGTCTTTATTGTTGGGTTTCAGATGACATCACAACATTCAATAGGCCAATATTGTTTAATACAGCTGGGGCTCAGGTAAAATGAATATTGTTGAAATGCAGATTTTTGTTGTAATACAGTGAGTTCTTGGTTTTAGCCACTAACAGAAGTGATCAGGTTCAGAATTTGTGAGTTTACCTTTTGGATATTCATGTTAAAGTAGAATGTACTCAACAGGAAAAACTGGCTCTTTCCTCCCATCTAGGAGTATGACATCATTACATTGTAGAATTAGTCTGTGCATGTTTGATCACTGTTGCAATTCATTATTGATTAACTCTCTCAAACGGATATAGAGGTCAACTGTTTGATACACATCATTTGAAAAATACAAATTACGCTCAGCCATCAAGTCCACGCAGATTCTGAACACATCTTCATCACATGGGAAATCTCTGAAGGTGCATTCTTCAAGGCAGAGTGAGACTTTGTCCATGGCTATAGGATGCAAATAGTTTCTACCACCGTACAGGTGTGGAACCGCGTACAAAACGGAAGGACGTCCATGAGGCGATCTTGAATTGTTGACTTGACGGATGCGATGGTTGTTCCAAGTCAGTGCAATCTCATTAAGTTCATCCTAGGATAAAGACAAATAAAATGTACAGTACATATGAAGCACATTGCTCTTCACTTTAACCACTAGATGGCACTGTCGTGTAATAATAGTTACTAATGTTGTTTATATTTGTTGTGTATAATAACTTATTAAACAGGATAAAAATAGAAGGTTATTTAGGCTTACCTGTATTGTTTTCAGGAAACAGAATTGGATTAAGGACTTATCCAAAAAGTTGTCTAAAAAGTGTCCGTCTTCTTTGAGTTTGTCAAATAGATCCATCCAATATTGAATACATTCACTTCGCAGGGTGAGCCACCATCGTTCAATCCGCTGGTTTCCAGTGCTGGGACCTGAAAATACTGGGTCTGTTTCTGCTCGGTTTCCAGAATAATTCAAAAAGCGCTGAAATTCTCCAACATGACCATTCTGTCCCTAAATCAAGCCTGACTCTAGCTGGACAACCACCTGCAGTGATCACAGCATCCATGAAGTAGCCAGCGATAACCTTTGGGTCGTTGTTTGTTTTGTAAGCTTCCAGCCGTATCATCTTCCTGGAGAAACCGTCTATACATCCACTGATTGCAATTCCAAATGGCTTAATCTTGTCATAGCATCAATATGCCAGACATAGTTGGAACCTCGACTGTGGTATACTCGTCTTCGTAGCCTGTTTCTTGACCGCAGATCAACACCTTCACTGTTCAATAATCGAAGTAAAATACGAACAGTCTCACGGTCTGTCACAATATTGTTCACCCAACATTTTTGGTGCATCCATCGATAGCCGTGGTACTGACCAGATGTCTCCAGCTGTTGCTCGATAAACGCTGCCACTTCAGCCACATCTGTTTTATTTTTACGCCGCCAGAGTCCTCTTTTGCTTAAAATCCGTTCAAGGGTGCGTTTGCTCACCGTGATTCCATGTGAATGTTTTTTTTTTTTTAATTATGAGTTTTAAACTCGTAATTATGAGTTTTAAACTCGTAATTATGAGTTTAAAACTCGTAATTATGAGTTTAAAACTCGTAAT